CCCAGTTTAAACTGTTGAGTACCAGCCTATGAATTACAATTAATTAGTTTGGACAGAGGTGTGGCAGACTGTGGAAAAGATGTTTCAGAATGATGACATGTTTACACTATGTGTTTAAAATGTAGTAAGTAGACTGAAATGGGGGATAGTAACAACACTACCTGAAAATGTGTGAGCTTAGGTGTGCATTTAAGAGCACATGTTTTTAAATGCATGTGTGGGAACGTGTTGGATATGATTTGGCAATGTGCACTTGCAGCTCAGAAATCCAATTCTACTGTGCAAAAACCTGAAATGTGGGCAGCAAGTTCAGGGAAGTGATTCTCCCCCTCTACTCTGCTTGTGTGGGAGCCTACCTGGAGTACTGCATCCAGTTCTGGTGCCTCCAGCACAAGAAAAACGGGGACCTGTTGAAGCAGGTCTAGAGGAGGGCCATGAAAATAACTAGAGGGATGAAAGCACCTATGAATAAAGGCAAAGAGAGCTGGGGTTGTTCAGCCTGGAGAAGAGAAAGCTCCAGGGAGACATTATTGCAGCTTTGCATTATACAAAATGAATTTATAAGAGAGAAATTATTTACCAAACCTGCAGTGACAGACAAGGGGCAATGAAAGAGGATGCATTTAGATTGACCATAGGGAACACTTTTTTTACACCAGGTTGGTGAGACACTGTAACAGGTTGCCCATAGAAGTCACAGATGCCCCTTCATTGGAAATGGTCGAGGTCAGGTTGGACAGAGCTTTGGTTGACTTGATCCAGGAAAGGATGTCTCTGCCATGGCAGGGGGCTTGGACTAGATTATGTTTGAAGGTTCCTTCCAATCAAAACCATTCTATGACTAGGATCCTAATAATTAGGATATTTAAATTTATATTAAATTTAAAAAAATATATATATACGGTTTCCACCAACCTGCGGTGACAGCTCAAGGAGCAAGATAAGCTATTTTGAGTTGAATTATTGGCAGCTAAATCTAGTGTTTCCATTTCAGGGCTACCCAGCTAAATATCTCTCCAGTACTGAAGGACTTTGACAAAGGGACCCTAATGGATAGTGTTTTAAGAAGTGTCATAGAATCATAAAATATCTGAAGTTGGAAGGGACACAGAAGGATCATCAAATTGAACTGTTGAGCCTAAAAATGTCAGGGAAAAAAACACATGTAGGAGGGTGAGAAAATTAACAGTTTTTGTTGACATTCTGTGATTGAGATACAAGCACAAGAATTGTCTTGCTGATACTAAAGTTCTTGGATTGTAATCTGATTCTTGAATGTGAAATACTGTGGAAGAAAAGTTTTTCTCCTGGGCTGTATATTTTTAGAAGGCAGTACCAGTTTAGGCAACATCCCCCTCCCTCCCTAGGTCCTGTGTGTGTCCATGACATTGTCAAATCTGTACCAAAAAATCTTTCCTCTGTGACTTGAAGGCTCCTTTGTCAAACCAAAGTATTATACAGCTGTTTTAATTTCTAGGATGTTTTGTTCTTGCACTTTAAGATGTTATCACGTTGAAATGGATACAAAGAATGCTGTCACTACAGTAAACCAGAATGTGGGAATTCAAAAGTCTCAGGATTTTTACAGATCTGGAAAGTAGTCAGCGAAATTACCCAAGTGTTATCTCCAGAGATGAGGATACCAAGCATACAAAAATATTGATTATTGATTATTTGGAGCATGCTTTGGTTGGGAAATAATGGTAGATACAGGCACTCTGTGACTGTGGTTAGGAAGACTTGACTGCTGCATGGCTATGCTGCTTCACTGCTACACCAGTCTGTAACATGTAATCATAGGAAGAAATCAGCAAATTCATTCTTAACTGGAATGTTTTCTTTGATTATTGTACCAGCACGTTGACTATGTGATGCATGTATTTAAACCTGATTATTCGCAGTAAAATATCAAAATATTATTGCAGACATTGCTAGAAATCATTATTATATGAACTATTGAACAAAAATTATTCCCTTCTAGCTTTATCAGATTTTATTTCTATTTTAAATGTCTTACAATATATCAGCTCTTTACTAGTTAAGAGATACAAGCATCATCTAGAAACATCAGATGTTCTTACATCATAGTTATTTTTACATTTTCTGCAATAAAATACATCCTAGGGAGCATGCCAAGTGAAAATGGCTTTTTAAGCCTTTTTAAGGAAGTTTTTGAAAGCTTTGGTTAATGGTTAGTGACTATTTCTAAAAGGTTTTTCTAGAGAGCAGGACCCACATCCTCTCATAGTTCCTCAACAAATAGTGTTTTCCTCATGTCTCTGAATGCTCACACGTATTCTTTCTTTTTTTTTGGTTTTGTTTCTTTTTTCTCATCCTACCACAGCTCTATAGAGCTAGATCATATAATCTGTCATAAACCAGAACCCACGTTGTCTTGTGGGTGTCATGGAGCTGAAAATGTGTATTACACAGGGTTAGCCTGACTATTAATCACTTTGTCATGTGGTAACATTACACTGGAAATCACACACACGTACATGCACACTGCTGTTTAGAATTCAAATTTATTTAACTCAAATATATTCTTAAAAAAATGAAATTCCTCTTATTCCTGAGCTAAAGTAGCAACGTGTATCTTATGGTAAATAAAAATCAATATCTTCTCCCTATGGAAAGTGAGGAAGAATTTACCATAAATGAGTAGTACCAACCCTCAAATGTGAAGAGAATGTTGGAGCAAACTCTACCTTTTCTAGTCTGTTTGTTTTCATAGAGCTTGATTTATATATTTTGGGTACATTCTTCCAGTAACTGTTACTTGATTATTGCGACTTTTTGTGTCTTTGGGGCTCTTGGTTGGAATTCTTCTGCTATTACCCCAAATTTCTACTCTGACACCCTACTGCACTAACAGAAGCCCCTCGAAATTTCCCAAGCACATTTGTCTTTGTTGACAACACATTATGTACTATCTAATGCCCCAGATTTTTGTTCCTGTTTAATGACAATGATAATGATAATGATGACCTGCTCTGGTCATCAACTTGTTCAAAATAAGATTAGGGTTTGCCATTACAAAATAGCATTTCTCTCTTTAATAAGAACAGGGTTTTCTAGTATTGCTTCACATGAATGCAACAAGTGTACATAGACTGCCATAGAAGGTTTTCATGACTGGAGAACCGGTGAAAAGCAGGCATACATCCTAGGCAATCCTAAACAATAAATATAAGATTACTCATTATTCTCTTGAGACCTGTGGGAAAACATCTAACTCTTGAGTTCTATTTCATGTTTAAATCTCCAGTTGTTTAATACAGTGAAGACCATGAAAACTGCAAACAATGAACTAGAAAAAACTCAATAAAACCATAAAGAAACTTCCACTAGATATACTTGTGAGAGTTAAGGTACCATCTGTGGGGAACTGGAAAGATGCCTGGAATAAGGAAACTGTTAACACTTCCACTTTTGTTATGAACTTAATTGTAGAGTCTGAAAAATTGAATTCTGTGGAAAACTCAACACTTTTGAGCTCAAATAATATCTGATTTCTGTCTGTTATTGACCTGTTACTAATCCTCAACCTACATAATTGTTGTTTTGGAAGGGAGTGAGAATACTGTGGGCCTCCTTAGAGGAATGAATCCAGTCAATGCATGGAAGCGGAAGTCAGATGATACTCTGATTTAAGTGTGGGTTTTGTGTATTTAATAGTGAAAATTGTTTAATATTGGAACAAATATCTAAGACAGCCTTGATCAAATAATTGAGTTTAGTATAAAGCAAAAGAAATTATTTCCACAGTCTTGAAAATCATAGGTGAATTAAGGTTGTCTCCTGATTTTTTGAAGCTCCACATTATTTAGTGATATTATTACTGATACACTGGTATTCTGCTTTTTGTCTTTACAAGATGTTCTCAGAGAAAACAGTATTCAAGGCTGTCTGTAACCATTGGACAAAGAGATCAGATGAGTGTAGAATATTTCTTTGACCAAGGAGTTAAGCCAAATGCTTATTCAATTTTCTTTGTGGTGTGGCTTCTTGGAAACATATTTGCAGCGATGTGCGATGCCAGACTTGTATTTTGTACTACTTCACTGAGTTAAGGTGCTTCCCATCAAAAGTTACAAAATACAGGAGCAAAGCCTCGCCTCAAGAAAATGGGGAATACCAAGCATATTAGACTTAGAGGGATGAATTTAGAATACTTATTTGTCTGAAGAGTTGAATCAAACACATGTTCAGGACTCAAAAACAAATGTTTCTGGAAGTTTTTTGTAGCAGTTCTGTATTTTAAAACATGACTGAATGAACCTAATAGTCAAATGGCAATCAGAATCTACTTGTAGTAATTTGTCTTTTGCTTTCTTCTTTCCTCTACTATTATGGCCCTTCCATGAAAATCCAACAATAAAGACTCTTCCCATTTCTTCTTTAATTCTATTTCAGTGATTTCTGTACTACACAGTAGTGTAGTGTTGGTACACTTTTCCTAATGAATGTAGCTAGCCTGTCCATAAGCAAAGCAATGTAGACTCAGAGATCTCTCTTGCCCTGTGTTCCATTAAGTTTTTGACTCAATTTACAGTCCATTACTACTCAGTTACTCTGTCTAATAGATATCACTAGAGTTTGCTACTCGATAGTGAAAGGCATTTGTGAGATATTCCATCCTTCATCTCTGTTATTCTCTGATATTGTAAATGAAACAACTAAATGTTGTAGGCAGTAATATAAAGTCAATTTAAATATTAAAGATATTTAATATAAAGTGATTTTTCTTTTCCTTTTCTTTTTCAAACTACTGATTCAATTATTCTCAATGTAGTGGATTGGCTTTTGGATTTTTTAGGCCTTTCTTAGCAACGGGGTCAGAAATCTAAGGAAGTATTCCATATCCTTTAGCATAAAGCAACATATAAATAAGGCGGAGATAACAGACCTCGCTCTCTTCTCTTCCGGTGAGGTTTGGGAACGGCAAGGTTTGGGAACGGTGGGTCCCTGTCCCGGTCTTGCTTATCTGGAGCTGAGGCCTGCAGCCACTGCTGTGTCTGCCACGCGTGAGGGGAGAGTGCTGGGCCGTGTCCGGCTGTCCTGCTGTTCTCAAGAGAAGTGGTGAGATTTTGCTAGTTCTTTATTTTGCTGGTTACTAGATTTTTCTATTGTGCATATTTGTTTTGTTTTCTTCTTTTTTGTCCCTTTTTCCCATTTTCCCTTCCCCTCTTCCCCTTCTTGGGAGTTGTACATAATATCCTTACTGTATATTACTGTAATATATGTAAAAATACACATATATTTTGGTATAATTTGGTTGGTTTTGATTTTTCTCAATTTCTATAGCTTTTTTTTTTCCCTTTGCCTAAAGGGGGAGGGAGTGGAAGGGTTTTCACTGAGTTTTGCAGACTTGGCAGGAAGCCAGCTCTAACTTGCTCACTCAGACTGTATCTGATTTTTGAAATTGTGCTCTACAGTTTGGCAACAAGCCAGTTTGACAGCTGGTTTAGTGAAGGGATAATTTTTCCATAGAGTAATGTGAGCTCTATGGAACATCTTTTCTGAAAAGACAACATGACAGACAGGTATAATAGGAGAACCACTAATATGCAGTCACTTAAGTAGTAGCAAATGTTCAACACCTTTGAAGAAATCTTTCTGGAATATTCAGATCATGTGAAATTTACTCTTGAATGCATCAACATACTGCACTTATCTATATAGTTTATCAAAGTGAATTCCACAAAGATCATCTGTGGGGATTGTTTCTAGACTGAAAGTATCACTTTTATTTAAGATTAACATAAGCCTTTTTGGAGTTTTGTTACTGTAGATGTTAGAACTAGTTGCTCTAACATTCTAAGACTTAAAAACTGAAAATACACTTGATTTTGTTTATGACAGACTAAACTTCATCATGTCAGAGATAAACTCTGACAAGAGTAACTTGCATCCTGGATCAGGTTGAAAGGATTCAAATGATAAAGTCTATTTCTAAACATTGTCTGAAATACTGGCATGTGTCATTTTACATCTCAGCAGAAAACTGCAATTGATGATAAACAGCACTGATAGTGCAGGCTTCTTCAAAACATATTTGTTGCAATGCATGAAGTCAGATAATGTACCATACCACTTGAGTTGCATCACATAAAATATTGTGAAATCTAACAGCAGAGCTTCACCTCAAGAAAATAGGAGGTTATTAAGCAGTTCAGGTAGATTGCTTGTTGAAGGGTTCACCTAAAGTAAGTTCTGCTGAAATTGGCTAACAACGACCTTTAATTTACAGCACCTGAGACTAAGCAGTTTCTTTCCTGTCGTATTCTCTAGCTGATTCAATTTTACTTGAATAGAGCACTGCTTCTTGGCAAGTAAACTCATTTACTTGCAGACACTAGACAGAAATCTGTTGACTGAGTTTTTCAGCTACCTTTCTTCTTGTGTATGCAGCAGCTGTACAACAAAATTCACCTTAAATTTATGTTTTCATCATGACATTGCAACATGCTCAACCTGTGGATGTGGTCAGCAGTAAGTGGGGAATGAACAGTGAAGCAGTGGAATCCTGGACTTCTGGCAGTGCTTCAGCTTTTACTGAAGCATGTTTACTTTCATTTCAGGTAATCACAAAATGTATGGCCTATGAAAGGCATTTCATTCGTGATGCATGTGGGGAACAAGATTTTTGCCAAATTCTATTATTGAATAGTTCACTGGGTAAACTTACCTATGCTAGCCTTTCACTTCTGGAAATGAAGCCTGTTCTTTGCCCATGTAGATATGGCTTATAGAGATCCCCAGGATGATGTAGCTGGATAAGCAGTGAAGAGAAAGCAGCTCTTTCCTTAGAGGAATTATACAAAACAGCTGGCATGAAAACTCTTCAGTATTTTATACTGCTCTCAATTTCTTTCTCTCTCTTTTTCATTTATCTGTCTTCCTAAAGCACTGCACAGTTAATAGTGACATTGATATGAACACCAACGGCCAATAAATGAAAGGTTTGAGATAAGATTAGCAGCATACGGCCTCTGTTTCACATGCAAGCAGACAAGCACTGCAGACAATTGCTTTCTGCCCACAGAAGGTAAATGAATGCTGTGGCAGAGTGATGACAATTCAACATGACTGCAAATGACCCTCTGGTTGGTCAAGAAGATGTTAATTATACTAGTTTAAAACAGGTCAATGAATGTAACTTTTATTGGAAATGAGATATTTAGTTTTAAAAATGTAAAGTATTTAGTGCCAACGAATTTCTATTGCTCAAACCATTGCTTGGCTTTTTGCATGAGATTACCAGACTGATCAGCTGAGCATGTCCAGTCAAGTAATGATTTTTGCGATTGCAATTTCAGTGACTATAAATCAAATTTTATTTGCTCTTGTTATATCATGTTAAGTGAACTGGCTTTATGAATAAATCAAGTCTTAAAATCTGAGTCAGGTTTGCATGCACTGGTTCAATTTGCTTCTGAAAGAGAAAGTGTGTAATTCTTGTATTCCTTTTTTAACCTCAAAGTATCCAAAGGCTGTTCAAATAAATGATTTTTTTTGTTGCTATTCCCTTATCACTTTTTCCATTGCGTGAAACAATTGGGACAATCAAGTGTTTAGCAATTGACTTTGTTTTATTCAGTAAGTATAAAACTCAAATAAAAGAAATTATTTGATTGTTGAATAATTCAGACTTAACTACAAAAGAGCTGCTGAACTACTTCCAATAGTAATAAAACCAAAATTTATTGATGGAAGGTGCTAGGTGAGGAGTGTAATTGGACAAAATTTCTTTTGATTTTGCAATCCTGGATCTGGCTCCCAGGGAAATCATGATACTCATCCTGATTTTACTACTGGAGTACGAGAAAGTCAGAAAATAGTTGTGGATGTTGCAATTGGGGTGACTCAAGATGAGTTTGTCAATGCAATAGTCTATCTAGCGTCCATACTGTGGCATCACCCTTATTTAATGATATAAGTTGTGTAATTGAGCCTATGTTCAGGCTTAATGCCCAACACTAAGCAGAGCCCTTGGCCTGTATGATGACAGTTCCTGGAAAAACACCTGTAGCTTTCTTATAGAATGTGGGGATGATGCTAGGGTTCCTAGTAATGAAAATTTATTTGTCTTTTAATTAAAAACTCCTTAGAGGCAATGTAGTTAAAAGGGTAAAATGTATGCATGCATGTTTTTAGTTTTGGTACAACCCTAGTTCCGTTGTAACTGTTCTATACTGTCCTACAGACAGCTGATCATATCTGTCACTGAATTTCGTTTCAGATTTTCTGGAACTTGCCACTGTTATTTTACCAGGTGAGGCCCAGCCTATTTCTTTAACAGGTAGGACAGTGGTAACTCATAACTAACTCATTGAATGAAGTTTAAAAAAAAAGAAAAAAAGACTTTCTGTCTTTGTTTCTTAATTCATTTATAGCACTACAAAAAGCTCCACATGCAACTAACCATACAAATAAAATACTAAAAAACCCCTAATCAGACTATTCAAGGGTTTCTGACAATTAATTTAAAAGAATTTACTTTCTTGCAGTTCTGCATATATTCCGTTCATCTCTCTGTAAAAGGATATAATACTGGTACAAAAACTCAACCAGAAACAGAAGTATATTTTAAGCTGGCTAAAATTAGCCACATTTAGACATATACCAGTAAATAGAAGGCTATGCTGTGCACCTTATGTAGAGTCAGTCATCATTTAGTTGTATTAATCAATCAATTTTTGGTTGAGAAAATTAAGGATCCAGGGTTACTAAATGAATAAGGAACAAAAACAGTAGACTGCATGTAAAGTAGTTCTGCAGATACTAGCACAGCACTCAGAAGACAACAGAATTATTTCACAGTATGCTCCGGAGAAGAGCAGTATGCTGCCAAAGGGATCATTTGTTTGTTGTTCTAGTGGTTGGTCCACTGGAAATTGGAGTCGATTTTTAATGTTCTTCAGTTATTCATCATGTATTCCCAATGTTTGTGTAGACCAGTCTGCCTCTACACAGGTTATAGGCATTGCATGTGATTCTACTGACTTCCAGGGAATGAGATGCTGCCTAAAAATAAGTCACAAATACCATCCAAGGAGGAAGGGTGATTGGTATACACAGTATAGAGGGGCAAGACTGTGAGCCTGTTGCAAAATTACTATGCCTTTACTCTTTTTTTCCATTTAACTCTGTATTTGCTAAATTATTTTGGAATTTCTTTGGGTAATATACTCCTACTATGCTACAACATATTTTTAAACAAGAGATGAAAAGTCAAAACAGCACAGAATAACTCTCTAAAAATGTTAACTCCTGAAAATAAAGATCATGTTCCTGCTTATGCTGTGTAAAATTTTGATTAAAAACAACCAAAGGTGTTTTTTTGCATTCTTTTTTAGGCCTGGCCAGAGAGTGTAAGCTGCTGGAGACCTAAGAAAATTATAAATGTCTTCAAGCTTTTACTAACAAACACTATTTTATCACAGAAGAAATATGTTCTTTTATACCCTCCTGATCTAAGAAACTGGATAAATCCAGCATCAGATATTTATTTCTTGAAAATCACATTGTGAAAAGAAAAAAAATTATAGGGTGTTCTAGGTAACATCAAGACAGTATTTGCACCAAATATATATTTCTATTAATATAAATAAATGGGTAATTTTTCTGTTCACAAATTTTATTTAAACAGTCCTTGAAATATTAGAGGGCTGGGCAATCACCAATCATATGAAGTTCAAGAAGGGGAAGTGCCAGATTCTGCATCTGGGATGGGGCAACCCTGGATACACGGATACAGTGGGGAATGAGACGATGGAAAGCAGTGCCATGGAAAGGGACCTGGTGGTCCTGGTTGAGAGAAGGTTGAATCTGAGTCAGCAGTGCCCTGGCAGCCAGGAGGGCCAACCATGTCCTGGGGGGCATCAGGCAAAGCATCGCCAGTTGGTCAAGGGAAGTGACTGTCCTGCTCTGCTCTGCAGTGGGTCAGCCTCACTTGGAATATTGTGGCAGTTTTGGGCACCACAGCATAAAAAAGGCATTAAGTCATCAGAGAGTGTCCAAAGGAGGGCGATGAAGATGGTGAAGGGCCTTGAGGGGAAGCTGTATGAGAAGCATCTGAGATCATTGGGTTTGTTCAGCCTGGAGGAGACTGAGCGGAAACCTCATTGCAGTTTAGAACTTCCTCGTGAGGGGAAGAGGAGGGGCAGGCACTGATCTCTTCTCTGTGGTGATCAGTGACAGGACCTGAGGGAATGGCCTGAAGTTGTGTTGGGGTGGTTTAGATTGAATATTAGAAAGGGGTTCTTTACCCAGAGGGTGGTTGGGCAGTGGAACAGGTTCCCCAGGGAAGTGGTCACAGCACCAAGCCTGACAAAGTTCAAGAAGCTTTTGGACAATACTCTTGGGCACGTGGTGTGATTGTTGGGGATGGTCCTGTCACGGTCTGAGGGGGGATGGGGCTGTGACACAGCACACGGGTCTGGAGACAAGGAAGAGGTGCAAATGAAATACTTTACTGAGGTGTCCAGAGGTTTTATGGGTTCAGGTGGGGAAAGGGCTAAAACACGGGGTAGAGCATGAGACAGACAAACGGGGGAACAAATTGGGGTAGGGGCACAGGCAAAGGGGGAGGAATGTGGGAGGAACTGGGGAAGGAAAGGGCGAATGGTAACTATCTCCTCTCTGCAGCTTCTGCAGCCAATCAGAGAGGGGAGCGGGGAAGCAGGGAACAGGTAAACTCGTGGCAAGCCCGGGCATGCCCAGGCTGTGCACTGTGTAGTGTGGATACAAAGAAACCACATAGTAACAATAAAGTCCATATAATAAAGTCCTGTCAATTGCTGTATGTCTTTCTCCACCCCTGGAACCGCTCCCATCCTGAATCTTGTTCCTTCACATGGTCCTGTGCACCCTTAAAATTTGGACTCAGTGATCCTTATGGATCAACTCATAATATTCTGTGATTCTGTGATTCTGTAGTGGAATGCTGAACTTTCAAGGGTCCTGTGATTCCATTTGCTTTTAGTGTCTGTATTTAAGAAGCAGTGTTCACTTGTTCATAAGTCAAAAAATATTCTTATCTCTTTCTGAAGAAATCAAATTTGATACATTTACCTCTAAATATAGAGGTATTACAGATTTTCTAAACAGCAGGAAAGCAGCAGAGATGACAACTCAGAATAATTAATTTTTAGAATAATTAATTATTTCAGACTAATTAATTTCTGTATAAAACAATTTTTTTTCTGTCAGGAAGAAGACTGTAAAGTTTGTCTAGAACAAAGATCACTTCTTAAAAATAGTACAAAAAATGTGATAGACCTTTTAAAGTCCAGAGAAATAATGCATCATAACTTTCTCATTTGAGGAATGATAATTATTGGATATTGAATCTCCTATGCTTTATGTCTTTTGGTTCAAATGGATTACCATTGCCACTTTGTCCTTTTGCTATTCATCACAGATAATTCCAACTCTACAAAGCATAAAAAGTGAGGCAAAACTCAAATCAACTAGCGTGGTTTTAAGTTTTGATTGTTTGGGGTTTGGGGTTTTGGTTTTGTTTTTTGGGTTTTTTTAAATTTTTTTTTAGCCAGAAAATTTTACTTTTATAGTCTGCTTAATATGCTGCAATAGAAAATAGAGCATCACTGCCTTGTATTTATATTTGCCTTTAAGAAAATAACACTTTATTGCTGGCCACAACTAAAAGTGTAGCCATGTTGAGTCCATTTCATAAATGTTACAATATACTTAGCTTTGTAAATCTTGAATATATGTTGAAAGAGGGTGAGTTAAACATTAAACAATATACTGGTTTCCAGTCTCTTGCCTCATTCCCAGACTGTGTGTATTGATTTGATTTAGAGTGACTTATAAACTGTAATTCCTTAAACACACCTATGCATGCTGAAAAAGCAAGGAAGGGATGATTTGAATCCTGAGGCAGATATAATTTTCATGCAGACAACTTCACTCAAAACTGGAGATAATTAGCTGGAATGGTTTCCTTTTTCAGTATTGCAAATGCTATTCAGTGGTCAGTCCTCTCTTTTTTTAACATAGCAAGACATTTCAAGCTAGCTGATGAGTTAACTTCAGTGCGAATTAAATGATAGGCTCCTACTGCCCTATCAATATTGAAAGGAATTTTCAAATAAATATAAAGTGCAAGTGATCATGTGTTAAAATGAAATTTTACCAATGGACAAATATTTCCCTTTCAAGTTATACTAAAACCTCTAGAACATATAGGAAGTTATATGTGTAACTTGTTTAACAATTAGAAAATCTCATAGCTGTATTAAACTTTGATTATGCCTGAAAATCTCTTCATGTTTATAAATACTGAATATGCTCTGAAGACTATTAAATTTGATTTCTAGTGGAGCGAGGGAAATGTATTTAAAGTGCAAGTGGCAGATTTCATTAATTATGGGGGGGTTTTTAAAGTGCCTTCTCAGAATCCCTCTTGGATTTAATGAGGGCATTAATTGATAAACTACCACAAAATCTTAGGTCTAGTTAGCAATTTTGCAGGTTGGAACCAACATCCTCAAATTAACTGGGTCAGCATCTGCTGCAGAACTCTGAAAAATAATGGGCTTAAACATTGCTTAATAACTGCCAGCAACTTAGGTAGCACCTTTGGCTTCATTAATTTATGAAGTGAGATTTCAGACTGTGGGTATGGTGAGGGGAAGAAGCAGAGTTCAATGCTGGGGTGTCAAAAGCATAAAAGGTCATGTCAGAAAGATCTTTGACCTGGCATAAGCTTTAAAATAAATTGTTGCCTGTGGAGTGAATAACCAGCAATGTCACTCAGGGTGATTTTACATAAAGGTGGCAGATGAATGCCCCCACAAGTATAGATTAGCATAGTCCTTTGTAGAATCCATTTCTTTGCTCTGATACCTCCACCAAAATTTACACCTATGTGAGCTGAGAATCAATCAGCTCTTCTTTGCTAGACGTCACCCTTTAGGAATGTAAATTTCTTCACATTATTTTGTGAGCAGAGCTTGCTCTGCTTAATTTGAGCTGTGTAAAATTAATATGCATTCAGTTTGTACATAGCAATAAGACCTGTTTAGACATAGCAGTATAAATATCTGTGTTACTGCAAGCTCTGGTTTTATTCTAAAGTATTTTCTTCACGTGTCTTCCTTTCTGCTCAGAAGTCAAATGAGTGAGCTTTTGTCTGTGTGTAAAAATGGCATAAATGTGTCCCCAGCATCTCTTACTTTAATTTGAAAGTAAACTTTCATCGTATATACTCACGAAAGTGTTCAGACAAACATGCTGCTTTGGATTAATGCAAGGTTTAGTATAAAATGTTCACCTGTACTCTTCTCTTGATTCGCTGTACTTTGGTTACTATGGAATCTAAATTATCTCATGAACTGCAATATTTTGAATGCCATCTTAACTATCAAATTAAAAGAAAGGTGTTTTCACATTTCATACAAAATAAATTTTGTGTTTTGTGCTGGCAATAAAGTTTGTTCCACTGCTTACATCAGTTATAATGTGCTAGACAAAACCTATAACGTGAATTAGGTATCTTAGTTATCATTGGCTTCACACAGCCTCTAATGCTGACTCTTATCGTATGCTGGAATTGGGCAGACAATTGTAATTGTTCTAACTCCAGAAGCATAACTGTACTGATGTAATCTCCCATTATGCCATCACAAGACTCCTCTAGTATTAAAGTAGCTCTTCAGACTTAGCCGAGTTTCCTGCCAGTTATCATAAGTTAAGATGAAAAGGATCTGTTTATCCTGC